GTTTCTCTTGGGAACTGGTTAGAGGTGCAGGTCCTAGCCCAGTCCTGCAGAATCAGACTCTGCATTTCCACAAGATCTCCAGGAGATTTACATGCATGCTAACGTTTGAGAAGCACTGACCTAGAAGACACTTCCCAGAAATGCGGGGAGAGGACCATCAGTGCCCTGAGCCAATGATTTTGTAGTGGAGACTGTGATTTTAAAGAGCACAGTTCTTCATATAAGGTCTGGATCTCATGCAATGTTAAGAAGCAGCACCATTCCCATAAATCAGGGTGGCTATCTGCATAGACTCAGCCTCAGAGACGGGGAGATGGCATGTGGGTCTTTGGGGAGCCAGCCTTTGCAAGAACCACTAGAGGGAGCCAGAGCCCAGGGATGGCTGCTGGGGCAGCTGCGAGAGGGTGGGGAGTCCCAGGTTTTTGTGTATGAATTGTTCACACACCCTCACACATTTCGGTAGCTATTATAAAATTAAGTTGCAAAATATACTAAAATGAAAATCAGGTGGAAAAATGAAGTTTATAAAATGAGGATAAGAAGTTAAAGTTCAAAAGAAAAAATCAAAGGTTTCAGAGTGACATAAGAGAATATCACTATAAGTGTATGTGTCTCTGTGTATGTATGTGTCTGTGTGTATATGTGTATGTGGGTGTGTTTATGTGTGTATGTGTATTTATGTGTGTATGCGTGTGTGTCTGTGTATATATGTATGTGTCTATGTGTGTCTGTGTTTGTATGTGTATCTCTGTGTGTGTATAATATGTGAAAGTATCACTCCTTCTTGAGGTAGGAGATGACTTTTTAAACAAGTCATGAAAGCACTAACCGTAAAAGGAAAGCTTGACAAATTAGAGTGCAGCTAGTATAAAAATAAGGTCTTCCATTCATCAAAAGACACCTTAAAGAAAGAAATAAGGTGAACTGTAGAGTAGGAGTGGATATTTGCAACACATTTACCTGACAAAGGGCCTATATCAAGAACATATAAAGAAATCTCACATATCAGTAAGAAAAGAAAAACTAGAAAACAGTGAGCAAAACACTTGAATAGACATTTCACAAATGGTAATCTCAATGGCCAATAGAAAAAGTGTTCAATTTCATTTGTAACCAGAAAAATGTAAATGAAAACCGCCCAAAATACCACAAACCATCTACGTGCATTGGCAAGAGAAGAATCAACAGTGATTCTCATACAACACTGGTGGGAATGTGAATTGGTAGAGAAAAGTGTGCACATAACCCCAAGGAAACATGTATAAGAACTCTCCCACATCAGAAACCACCCAAATGTAAGCGACAGATGACTGATAAATAAATCACAGCATAATCATGCTAGATGATAATAAAAAGGAATGTACAAGCATATCAATAAGAGAACTATAACAACTTTCTTTTCATAAGAAGGGGCACAAAGCAGACACAAAAGAATACATACCATGTGAATCTGTTAATATAAAGTTCAATAATGGGCCAAACTATGTATAGAAACTAAAAGCCTGATATTTAAAAACTATAATACATTTAAGCAAATCATTAAAAACCTACGAAATGTAAGTAGGCGTAATAGTTAATTTTATGTGTCAACGTGATTAAGCCATGGTGTCCAAGTATTTGATATGATCTATTATTCCGAATGTTTCTGGGACAGTGTTTTTGGATGAGATTAACATTTAAATCAGTGGAGTTTGAGTGAAGCAAATTGTCTTGCATTATGTGGATGAGCCTCAGGAAGGCCTGAATTAAATGATAGACTAACCTCTCCTGAACAAGAAGAAATTCTGCCATCAGATGGGCTTTGGACTTGAACTACAACATTGACTTCTTCCTGGCCCTCTAGCCTGCCAGCCTACGATAAAGATTTTGGACTTGCTAGCCTCTATAATTATGTGAGGCAATTCCCTAAAATAAATAATAAATCTCTCTCTTTCATATGTGAGAATAGGCTTTGAATACATATGTATATGTGCATATATATTTGTATATATGCGCATATATGTGTATATATATTTGTATACATACACGCACACACACACAAATTGTATTGCCTGTTTTCTGGAAAATCCTGATACAATAGGTAAAAGTGTTTACAAATATTAAGAATAAATGAAATATTATATAAAAGATAAAGGCTACAAGACAAAGAAATAAAGTAAACATGCAGCAAAAGACAAAAGACAGATGTGAAAGGCAGTTCAAGAAGAGAATTTGAAAATGAACCAGGAGATGAGATTGATGCCTATGAACAAAAGTTAGGACAAAACCAGGTAAAAGTTAAGAATAAGACATAATGTAAAAGTAATTGAGGGAAAATATCTTTACAAGCAAACAAAAGCAAAAAGCCTGGGAATGAAGCTGAGAGAAAGACAAGGAAGAAGGAAGTGAGCTAAAAGCAGAAGTTTGTGGAACCAGGTGTGAGAAAACCGGATTTGCTTACAGCATAGAGCCTCGTTGCCATGGTAACCCCCTCCCAGGTGTGTCCTTTCTCACCCTCCTCTTCTCTGAAGTCTGGAGGAGCTGGACCCTGACAACAGCACTTTTTCCTGCCTGTACCTGCTGGGGCAGGGCCATAGCTTTTCCTTCTAAATACCTGGAGTTGACCAGGCTGCTGATGCATCACCAGTCCTGGAACATCCACACAAGCCCGTGGCCTGAAGTAACCTCAGCGTCACTGTGTATTTCCTTCTGGTCTTTTTTCCCCCCTCTTGTATATTTGTATTTTTACAGCATCCAAATTACACCCTAAGTTTTATAGTCTGCCTTTTTTTGCATCCCATTATGTCATATTAATGGAACTTTTTTAAAGACTCAATTTTTTTATTATTATTATACTTTAAGTTCTGCAGTATATATGCAGAATGTGTGGGTTACACAGGTATACCCATGCCATGGTGGTTTACTGCATCCATCACCCTGTCATCTACATTAGGCATTTCTCCCTAATCCCTATCGCTATCCCTAACGCTATCCCTCCCCTAGCCTCCCACCCCCTGACAGGCCCCGGTGTGTAATGTTCCTCCCTGTGTCCATAGGTTCTCATTGTTCAACATCCACTTATGTGTGACAACATGCAGTGTTTGGATTTCAGTTCCTGTGAAAGACTCAATTTTTAATGGGTACATGATATTCCATCAATTAGAGTCCAACGATCCCATTGATTATTCCACAAATATTTGTTGAATGCATATGATGTGCCAGGTATTGTATGGCTTGTTCACAGTCACTCTTAATTAGCAGCTGAGTGTGGGACACATGGAAAAGCCAGTGAATTCACTGGAGAAGGCATTTTCTTCACTGCTCAAAGGCCCTCTGCTGATGTATCCAGGCTCACAGATGGTCCAGGTAACTGAATTTTCCTGTGTCGACTGGAACAGTATCTCTGTAGTTAGTGACTACATGGATCTGAGCACTGGCCCAACTCTAAATATCCACTGTGGATTTCTGGTAAGGCAGAGGAGCTTTAGGACCCGCGTTTGTCAGAGACAACATGGCAATGTTTTCCCATGAGCTGCTTCTTTACTTTTTAAATTTATTTTTTCAAATATGTTATATATTCATGTGGTTCTACATTCAAGACAATATAATTATGTAAGCCATGAAATGGCTCTTTCCCATCACTGCTTCATCTGTTGAATACCTACTGTTTTATTAGTATTTGTGTTATTCTAAAGTTTCTTTATGTAAATACAAATATATACATGCTTATTTTTCCCCTCCCCAATACAAAAAGGTAGCGCAGAATTTAAATATGTTTGCCTCTTGCTTTTTGCATTTGATTATGTTTCTTGGAGTTATTTCCATATAAGATCTTTCTTCCTTGATCTTTTTCACTACTATAGTCCTATACGCCTGTGTTACTCCATTGTATGACTAACCAGAATTCTTGGAACAATTCCTGGTTAACTAATATTTGAGTTTGCTATGAGGTTTGTCACCTCAAACAAGGTTACATTGACCAACCTTGTGCATAATTTATTTTGTACACATAACTGGGTGAAATGCATTTATATTTTTGATACATATTGCCAAATTACCTTCCATAGGGTTTTGGCAATATCCGTTCCCACCAGTGCCATTCTTGACCAAACCTTTGACCAGGGACTCACGACAATTGTTTACTGAGTCAGCAAACTGAGCATCTGCCCTACACCATTCCTGAAGAATAAGATGCTGTTGATAACTTTTTTCAATAGAAGGAGAGACAGACTTACCAAGAAATCTGACTTACCAAGCAAGTCGATATATGAGAAAGCACCATAGCATGATGCTTTCAGTGCTGTGAGAACATGGACAAAGGGTGATCTATTCTACAAGGAGACATTCAGAGGAGGCAACAATTAAGCTGGGTCTTGAGAAACAAGCAAGTTGCCAAGGATAAGAGAGGTATCCAACACATGAGGGGACTATGAACAACAGCTTAGATCAGGCGTCCCCAAACTTTTTACACAGGGGGGCAGTTCACTGTTCCTCAGACCGTTGGAGGGCCGCCACATACTGTGCTCCTCTCACTGACCACCAATGAAAGAGGTGCCCCTTCCTGAAGTGTGGTGGGGGGCCGGATAGATGGCCTCAGGGGGCCACATGCAGTCCGTGGGCTGTAGTTTGGGGACGCCTGGCTTAGATGCTTGTTTTGAGAATGACGGATAGTGTGTTGATCAAGCATGAGGAGCTAAGGCTGAAGAGGCAAGTGAAAACCCGAGAGACTTTAGTTGACCGAGTCTTCCTCTTGTGAAAACTGAGCAGTCTTGTGGGTTTGTCAATGGCAGTGACATGGTCAGATTGCCTCCCAGCCACATTCTCTATCCATTTTTCTTTGGACTCCAGCACACCAGGAGCCTGGTGGTGTGTGTCCATTTCACCCCAGGGGATCATTTGATGTCTTGAACTCAGACCTCACAATAGCACCCAAGTAAGCCAGTTATGATGCAAGAAATATTTGTGACTGACCCTTGGGCTCCCATCACTTTGTCTTAGAAACAAACTCCAGACATGAACATCTCCTTTTTAGCCTATTGCCAGAGTTCAATCAGAGAATGGGAGAATTACTGTCAGAAGATTGGAAAACAGAGGGTTAGTGATACAATGGCCCAAGAAAGAAAGAACAAAAAGCCAATCAGAGTATTTAATACCAGCTATTCCTTTCAGGATCAAGCCCCAATGTGTTGCCAAGAGAATATGACTTCTGCTTCACCGTTGTGGTAAGTGTGACTTGTGCTTTAATCGGTCCATGTCAGAAAGAAGCCAAGTGGAGGAGCCCACTCAGTGGCTACAGAAACCCCTGCTCATTGCAGCCTCAGCCTGGCTAGTGTAGCATAACCTTTGTGAGCCTTCCCACTCCAGGAGGGAAAAGTAGGAAGAACCTCTCAATGATTCTAATACTCCTGCTTCTGTTCTTCCAGGACATGGAGCAAATTCTACAGATCAGACCCACGGATTGCCCTCGGGAAATATTCTCCCTTGGAAAAAGAGATCCTAGTAAGTATCCCTCAGTTTTCACACAGAGGCCTCACTGAAGCTAGCCAGTTTAGCTAGGGAGAGCCAAAGGTTCAGAAACCACCAGTAACAGAGACGCCTCTCAAACAGTGAACTCACATTGGCTGAGTCTGCTAGTGGCTTCCACACTTGCACAGCAAAATACCCTTATTGACAAGTCCCAATTAGAAAGATAAGTAATAACAAATGATGAAAATAGTTATCTCTTCAGCTCCTACCTTGCACTGGTCACTTTCATATATGTTGTTTTGTCGAGGCTTCACCATGACCCTGTAAAGTCAATAACATTATTCTGAATTCATTGTAGGTCAGAGGAGAGTCAGAATTTTTACCCAATCTTATCTGACCCCAAAGGTTCATCCTGTTTTCCACTACAGAGGGTCTCAAACACTTTCTGCAACGGAGGGAGAATCAACTACTAGCGAATTGTGTCTGTGAGTGCTGCCTGCCCCTGTACTACTGTGATTTTAACATTTTTTTTCTCCATTGTCAGCGTCTTGGTGGCATTCACACTATAGCAGCAAGAAGGCTTTTGGCTTACAAGCAAGAGGAAGAATGGAGAATGCTCAAGAAACTACAGCTGCAGTCTCCAGACTACAAATGGGCAATGGAGTTTCAAAAAGAACATTCCTCTCCTTGTGCTATTTGTGGACCCCTAGAAAAAATATGGACAGCAAAGGTGATTGTGCCCCCAGAGGAGTTTCAAATGCCCCAACGAGAGCAGGTGAACGTCAGTAAGCACATAGAGAGAATGAGGTTTGCTCGGGCTCTGAGAAATAATCAGCTTTTACCCTACATTGAAAAGTTTAGATACTCCTCATTTCTGTCTGGAGTGGGACTGGGTCCAATGGCAAAAAATAAGGCCAGACAAGAGGACAACCATGACAGCCGTAATTGTGACGATGCCAATCAAGCTGAGAAAGAGAAAGCAGAGGGCAAAAACACAAAAAGAGGAAAAATAAAAATGAATGTAGTTTTCAAGTCAGAAGAACCAAAAATACGTTTAACATACCATGCAAATGATCGCAAATCCTTCCTCCCTGCAAAGAAACCGGAACGGTCCATCACAGGCCTAACAAACCGAAATCTTTTCTGCATATCGGAATTCCCTGGCGACTTAATGCTAATGAATCAGGATTTTATATCACGGAGAGTCCACTTCAGTGATGTGGCCAAGACCTAAAGCCCAGAAGAAGAGAGTATCTGGAAACAGCGCATGGGTAAAGCAACTCCTTGTCATTATTAAAGTTTTATTTATTACCCAGGGTAACCACGTGTGCTGGCCCTTATTATTCCTGCCAGCTGTGCCCCAGGCTCCTTCCCAACCCATCTTATTTTGTGACTCTGGCTTCCCCAACCCAGTCTCCAGGTGGGCCTTAGGGTAAGACCTACCTGCTGAGGCTCCTGACCTCAGGTGACTCTTGGCTGTTGCTCCCACCCTCAGCAACAGCCCAGGTCTTCTCCTAACCTACTCCCATTGGGGTGTGTGTCTGTTATCTATTTCCGTGAAACAAATCACCCCCAAATTTAGTGGCCTAGAACAACAACCATCAATTTTGCTTGTAATTTTGTGGGTTAGCAATTTCAGCTGGGCTCAGCTGGGCGCCTCTCCTGATCTCCGCTGGGTTCCTCATGTGTCTGCAGTTAACTGCAGGTAAATTAGTTGGCTCTCCTTCTGGGAACTGGCAACTATGAACTAGGTCAGGCATCCCCAAACTACGGCCCGCGGGCCGCATGCGGCCCCCTGAGGCCATTTATCCGACCCCCCCCCCTCCCCGCACTTCAGGAAGGGGCACCTCTTTCATTGGTGGTCAGTGAGAGGAGCACAGTATGTGGTGGCCCCCCCAACGGTCTGAGGGACAGTGAACTGGCCTCCTGTGTAAAAAGTTTGGGGACACCTGAACTAGGTCAATGGGGGTGACTGGGCCACATGTTTTTCTTCATCCGGTAGGCTAGCCCAGGCTTGTTCACAGGGTCATTGCAGGGCCCAGGAGGGTGAGTGGAAGTTTGCAAGGCCTCTTAAGAACAAGGCTCATCACTGGCACACTGCTACTTATTTGCCATATTTCTGTTGTCCAAAGCAAGACCTGAGGCCAGCCTAGATGCAAGGGTGGGTAAATAAACTTTATGTCTTGATGAGAGGCCACATTGCAAAAGGCATGAAGACAAAGAAGCAGGAATATTTGGAACCATTGCTGCAGCCAGTAGCAGAGTCCCTGGAGCTGGGAGCAGCCTATAGCACAACTGGAGAAAAGAATGGTATGCCCACATCTAAAAGTTGGAGGTCTAGTTCATGCTCTTGACTTCCTTCCCAGGCATACAGCTTCTGCCTTGGAAGGCAGAGCCAGCCCTTTCCAGCCTTATTTCTTTGCTATCCTCCTCTTCCGTGCAACCAGGCAGTCCACACCCTCCCCATCAAGTCAAGTGGAGCCACAGGGCAGGCATGGCTGTAGCATGCACAATTCCTTTGGGCATGTCAGGAGGAGGTACCAAATGTCTCTGAGGTCACTGTTGCTACTTCTATCAAGGGTTTGCCTGTGCCCCAGTGTGGCATATCTAGTAGACAACTAGGGCAGTCAGACTTTATTAAGATGGAGTTCTTGTTTCTTACAGACGCTTGGCCATCAACAAGGAGGATGGATGGCTCAGAGAAGGGCTGGCCCTTCAAGGTTTGCTACAAAATATGAAAATGGGTTTTTATGGGAGGAAAGAATTTGAAGCCGGGAGTTTTCTAGCCTCTTCCCTGTACACTGACTCCTCTAAACACATACACACACCCACACGTAGACACTGCCATGGGACCTTGCTCATTGTGCAGTTCTTATGACAAGTCTGGTTTTCACCAGTGACCCTCAAACCTACTCTGAGCCACACTCACAACCAGCTGCCAACTCAGAGCCATTCTGTTACACTTTCATGGCTAGCACAGACTTCATCAAATTCAAAGCACACGTAGCCTGTATAGAACCTGGACATGTCAGTCCAATTTCCTTCCCTCTTTCCCAGTAATCAAGACAGAAGACAGCTGGCCATTGTCCATGACCTCAGAGAACTGCTCCAAATTGTAGGCTTGCTCATAGGCCATTTTCTTCTTCTTCTTCTTTTTTTTTTTTTCGAGACAGAGTCTTGCTCTGTCACCCAGGCTGGAGTGTAATGGCGTGACCTTGGCTCACTGCAACCTCCACCTCCCGGGTTCAAGTGATTCTTCTGCCTCAGCCTCCCGAGTATCTGGCATTACAGGTGCCTGCCACTGTGCCTGGTTTATTTTTGTATTTTTCATAGAGACAGAGTTTCACAATGTTGGCCAGGCTGGTCTCGAACTCCTGACCTCAGGTGATCTACCCGCCTCAGCCTCCCAAAGTGCTGAGATTACAGGCATGAGCCACGGTACCCAGCCCAGCCATTTTCTTGATTCTAAGCTATTCAGTGAAAAACTGCAGTGCCCATTAAACAGTGGGCTATGGGAGCTGGGGGACAAGCAGACCCTGAGCTGCACAGGGACGTGGGCCTTCAGCCTCCTAAGTCTCTTACAGGTCAGACTTGAGTTCTAGGTGTAAATATGAGGTGAAGCACTTTGGGACATCTAGAAGAAATGAGGAAATTTTTTTCCCAAAAGACAGAAATCTTGTTGCCAAAAGTGGGGGTCCTTTTTCAGACACCAAGAGAGGGTCTTGGATCTCACACAAGAAGAAATTCAAGGCAAGTCACAGAGAGCACTGAGAAGAGAGAGTTTATTGAAAGCTACTCAGTTGCAGAGTAGGGCATCCTCAGAAAGCAAGCAGAGAAATGCACCATCTTTGTTTTAAGTTTTTCTTATACAAGCATCTTATCTATGTAAAAGCCAAGCTATGACAATGTGAGCATGGGCTGACAGCGTGACGAAATATATTACTTTGTTGATTCAAAAAAGTTATTTTCGGTATTTTAGTGTGTAAGTACATCACAGCATGTCTAGAATCATCTTAAAGCATGTATTATTATGCAATATCAGGACATCCGGATGTCTCATTGTAGTAGGAGTTTCTTCTTGCAAGCTTTATTAAGCTGTTTCCTCAGCTGTTAACATTTCATGATCATGCGTCGTGACTGGCAAGGAATATGCCTTGCTAGTTTTAAGATGGAGTTGATTTTAAAATGGTGTCACCCTGTTTCCCTAACAATCTTACCCTGAGATTGTTAGGAAAACAGCACATTCACCATTTGAGATGCATGATGCACTTGCTCACTGTGTCTGAAGCGTACAGGGATTCCTCGGTTAATCACACCATGTCCTGAGCAGCTCCTCACAGAGTTGGGAAGACCCTGAACTTGTCCTCAGGAACCTACAGCTGCCCCAGGAAGGACCAGATTCCTTTCTAGCTCCTGTTTGCCAGTTGATTTTCCATAATCAGCCCTTTCAGAGCCACAGCTCCCTTCCAAGCAGAGGAAATGTCATTAGCAGGGGGCTTTACCCTGTCTCATTTTCCAACACAACTCCATTGGCCACAGCTACAAGTTACGAGCATTTTGTTTTGTTTTGTTTTAATTTAAAAATACTTTATTGCTAAAAAAAATGCTATTAGTCATCTGAGCCTTCAGGGAGTCATAATCTTTTTGCGGGTAGAAGGTATGGCCTCGATGTTGATGGCTGCTGATGGATCAGGGTGGTAGTCATTAAAGGGTGAGTCACTGTGGCAATGTCTAAAATAAGACAACAAGGAAGCTTCCTGCATCAATTTGGTCTTCCTTTCAGGAAAGAATTCTCTGTAGTATGTGATGCTGTTTGACAGTTACTTTCAAAATTGTCAATGTGCAAAAATCACAAGCATTCCTATACACCAATAACAAACAGAGAGCCAAATCATGAGTGAACTCCCATTCACAATTGCTACAAAGAGAATAAAATACCTAGGAATCCAACTAGCAAGGGATGTGAAGGACCTCTTCAAGGAGAACTACAAACCACTGCTCAAGGAAATAAGAGAGGACACAAACAGATGGAAAAACATCCCATGCTCCTGGTTAGGAAAAGTCAATATCCTGAAAATGGCCATACTGCCCAAAGTAGTTTATAGATTCAATTCCCCATCAAGCTACCATTGACTTTCTTCACAGAATTGGAAGAGCATTTTGAAGTATTGTATCTATGACCAAGACAGTCATTCTGGGCAGTGTAGCATTGTTCCCAAATATCAGTGAATTCTGATTAAACAATCAGTATAAACCAAAAAAATGAGTTAACTTTTCGGTTGAGGGAAAGTTAGAAATTGGACGTGTGTTGGGGGGAGAGGGGGAGGAAAACATTATTTCCAATGTTTCTATAACTTCCTTAATATGTATAAAACAGTGAATGCCAAAGCATCATCTGAAAACTCAAGCCAGTCTGAAAAAACTAAAAACGATTTATCTGGACCCTAAAAATTGCTTATGATGTGGTACAAAGTTCTCTGAATGAGAAATAAGGAGATCAGTACTCTCCTTACAGCTCTGATCTCAACTAGCTGTGTGGCATGGGTAAGCCACCAGGCACTCTGTGACTCAACTGACATCTGGATGTCCTGATTTTAAATGAGTGCATCAAACTCAATAGTCAGCAAGGCTCAGTTCTATAATTCATTAATTAGCTGTGTTCAATGGAGTTGGGAGTTGACTCAATACTTGCCAACTCCTCACCATCTGCTTAGTGTGGATAGTTCAACCTAAGTATTGTGTTATAAAAAGGCCAGGTGGTGCTGGTGTAGAGACATTTTCACTGACCCAAATTCTTTGAGATGCAGAAGTCACCTCTGAGAACAAATTCAACCCTTTGGAAAGAGCAGAGGTCAACAGAATGCCAAGATATTGCCCTACTGGCTGTTGTCAATAGCAAACTTGTTGATAAGTGTGATATTAATAGCAATAAACATGAATTACCTGGAGCCATCCAGAATATACCCACAGTTTACCATCCCGTCTTTTAGGAAGTCTACATAAAAATAAGTAGGTTAGATTTGAATTTTTGAAGGTTTTAGAAAGTGTCCTGGATTAAGTACTTATTTATCTCAACCACCACTTACCTGAGTTTCATAAATACATCCAGATGATAATATCTGATAAAGAGATCAGTGACCACAAGGCCCTATGAGAGTCTTAAACTCAGTAGATTATGTTGATGGTGATGACAAATTTAGAAAGTCTTTGACATCAGCACTGGACACAAAAGAGACCTCTGATAAGGAGTTGCTTAATCTGACATTTCTAACAACCCCTGTTCCCTGAGAAAGCTGATTAACAAAGAAGTGAAGAACA